ATTTCTCAAGGTGACCTGACTGAGCTCAATTTATTTAACTGGGGTTTAAAAGAAAGCTTTCACATTTCTGACTAAAGTACAATTTTACAATGTATAGACTTAATGGTAAAAGTATTAATACCTTTTTTTTTAATTTGAAGAAAAATACCCAGTGGGTGTGCTTTTAGTTCTAAAATGCAGATGTTTGTGAAATGTTATTATCCTTTTTCAAAAGTATTTTTAAAATATCCAGGATTAATATTCCCATATTAAGAGGATTCATTTCTCAATGATTTTAAAAAGTTTACTTGTTTCACTTAAGTAAATAAAATAACCAGATCATTACTAAATTTATGTAAGAAGGCATACAATTAATCTAAAAACAAGAGAATCAAAGTAAATTGTTGTTTGGAAACCAGATACTGTCTAAACATCTCCTCTGAATTGTGAATTTTTAAAATAACAAGTTTGTAAACTATAGGGACAAAAATAGATCAATGGATGCCAGGGGCTAGGGTCAAGGGGAGGATTTGATCCGTAAGGGGCAGTGTGAGGGAATATTTTTGGAGTGATGGAACGGTTCAGTATCCTGATTGTGATGGTATATGGGCCTTTAAATTCATAGACTGGATTCCAAAAGAAAAAGCTATAAACAGATACCTATCTTGATTACATCATATAGTGGTTGCATGGGTTGTATACATTTTGTATACATTTATCAAAACGAATTGAACACTTAAAATGGATGAATTTAATTGTATGTAAATTACGCCTCAATAAAGTTGGTTTTTTAAAACAGACAACCTAGGCTGTGACCTGGGTCCTGGAGGCCTGAGGAAGGGACAGTTCCAGAAGCACCTGGTCTCCAAGCCCCTTGGTTCCCCATAGGACATGGCTGAAAATATCAAGGATATATTACGTCTGTGTCAAGACAAAAAGAAGGTCTTGGTAGGGAAGAAGGATTTCGCTTTGCCTTCTGGGACTGGATCTTGCTTGACATTTATCACTTGCTCAGCATTTATCACCATCCTTATCTGTACAATGGGAATAGTAATTTCCTATCCTACCTCCCAGTTTGTAGTAAAGATTAGACTGACAAGTTCTTTAAAAAGGACATAGCGGGGCCTCCCTGGTGGCGCAGTGGTTGAGAGTCCGCCTGCCGATGCAGGGGATACGGGTTCGTGCCCCGGTACGGGAGGATCCCACATGCCGTGGAGCGGCTGGGCCCGTGAGCCATGGGCGCTGAGCTTGCGCGTCCGACAACGAGAAAGGCCACGACAGTGAGAGGCCCACATATCGCAAAAAAAAAAAAAAAAAAAAAAAAAAAAAGGACATAGCGCTTTTCAAATTAGAAGCCTTATTTTTCAGACTGAAGGCTTCAGTTATACCTGCCTCTAGTTGATGTTACCCCCATGGCGATGTTGGAGAGGTGGGTGGGAAGGATGAATGACGAGTATGCACCCAGCCTGTTCCAGTCTCTCACTGCTGGCCATCCCTACATCTCATTCATATCCATTCAATGAGTATCCTGTGGGCCCCAACTCTATGCCAGGCCCTGGGCGATCTGCTGTGTGGGTCACATTGATAATTAGGAAGTGACCCCTACTCTGAAGGGGCACAGATCACTGTGATGCAAGTAGAGTGTGAGAAGTGCCATAAGGGATGCTCAGGCACAGTACTGGGGGAACAGAGGTTGGAGCAGTTCCTTTCAGCTTGGGCTTTTATAAGAGAACTGTCACAAGGAGATGGCTTGTGAGCCCGTGGCATTCAGGGGCCTGGTAAATAAGCCACGTCCTCCCCAGGACGAGTCCCTTATTCTGTCCAGCACCATCATGTAATTATCGAGCAATCATTTGGTACAGGCACTGTGCAAAAGGGACCCAGAAATAGATTTTCATAGAACCTATGATCTTCTTCATTCTTTTGTTCATTAAACATCCAATGGGTCCTTTTTATATGGCAGACTCTGTGCCAGGGGAGTGGGATGCACGTAGGAAAAGGAGTCTCTGCTTTGGGGTTGCTCCTTGTCTCTTGGGAGAGCTCAATGGTAAATGGACGGTTACTGACTGAGAGTGAGGCTATGTCCCAGGTAACCCTGGGCACCGGGGGAGCACAGAGGAGCACCTGTTCCATCTTTGGTCTGGGAAGACATCCCAAAGGAGGTGGCATCTGAACTGAGCTTGGGTCACTAGTAGAAATTAGTAGGTGAAGGAGGAGAAAGCAGGGGTGGAGAAGGGTGTTATAAGCAGAGGGAAAAGCCTGTGTGAGTAGAGGCACAGAAGAGGCAACGGAGCATGTTTGGGCAGCTGCTCAATGTGGCAGGAGAGGAAGGGCTGTGTAGAGAGTAGTACAATTTACCATGTAAGGAGGGAGAACAGGAAGAGGCTTTTGCTAATTCAGCCAGCAGGCCCCCACCCCCAGGACCTCTGGGGGCAGACCCATGGGTGCACAGGGCCTCCAGCGCTAATGCTGTTTGAAACAAGGCTTCTCTGCTTCCCATACTAGGCCCCTCCCCAGGGTTCAGCCAGCCTCACGTTCAGTGCTCCAGAGCAAGCTCCATTAGCTGCCTATGGACAGGCCACCGGCTTCCCCACTGCCCTCTCACCACTGAGCTCACACAGCCCCTCTAATTAGTTATTGATCTGGTATTTTGTTGTAGCTGTGCTTCCTGCTCCTGTATTTAGTCGATTCCCAAGTAATGAAACCAAATTCTGTAACCCCCCACCTTCTGCTTCTGAACTCCCCTCCCCATCACTTCAGTCCCTGCTACCACCCCAACAAAGTGTCTCCAAACAAAGACCACTGACCATGAGCCTCACTCCTGCTAACAGAAAGATAGTGGAGAGGCGGTTAGGAGGGGGGTTGTCCCTGGAAGCAGCTGCAGAGTACACCTGTTACCTTTGTCAGGTCAAGGCCCCTGGAGCCCAGATTCCTTCCATGGTGGTCTGCGGGCCAGCTGTGACACGAAGGTGATGTGGATCAGATTGCTGCTTTCACCCTCATGCCACTGTGTCTTGCAGGGAGCCGATGGGTAGTCTGGGAAAAACTGCTCCTTCCTTTCTGGTAATTTTGACCCAGCCATTTAACTCCCCTCAGCCTCCATTTCCATAAAATAGGCATCCTAGTGTGTCTTCCCAGGGCCTTGTGAGGATCCATTGGACTCCTCTATGAAACTTCTTTGAGAACAATAAAATAGTATGAGAAGGAGTAATGGGTTTGCTGTCATTCTTAGAGAAGCGGTTGAGATCCAGGACAATCTGGAATGGAGTTTCAGACGTAGGGAAAATTACTCTGTTTGCCCCTGCCCATGTTTATATTAGATGAAACTGAATTTAAAAGAACATCAAAACAAGGGATTAATATCCAGAATATATAAAGAAATTTGATGACTTAACAACACAAATAAAAAAACCTGATCAAAAAAGGGCTTCCCTGGTGGTGCAGTGGTTGAGAGTCCTCCTGCCGATGCAGGGGACGCGGGTTCGTGCCCTGGTTCGGGAAGATCCCACATGCCACGGAGCGGCTGGGCCCGTGAGCCATGGTCGCTGAGCCTGCGCGTCCGGAGCCTGCGCTCCGCAACAGGAGAAGCCACAACAGTGAGAGGCCCGCGTACCGCAAAAAAAAAAAAAAAAAAAAAAAAAAAAAGGAGGCAAAGGACTTGAATAGACTTTTCTCCAAGGAAGATATACACATGGCCAATAAATACGTGAAAAGATATTCAGCATCACTAATCCTTAGGGAAATGCAAATCAAAACCACAATGAGACACCACACCCATTTGGGTAGCTATTGTAAACAAACAAACAAACAAAAACAAAATAACAGATACTGAAGAGATTGTAGAGAAATTGGAACCCTTGTTCATTACTGATGGGAATGTAAAATGACACAGCCACTGTGGAAAACAGTATGGTGGTTCCTCAAAACATTAAACAGAATTACCTTATGATCCAGAAACTCCACTTCTGGATATATACCCCAAAGAATTGAAAGCAATGACTCTGTAAGAGATACTTTCATATCCATGTTCATAGCAGCATTATTTATAATAGCCAAAGGGTAGAAACAACCCAAATGGCCATTGACAGATGAGTGGGGAAAAAATGTGGTATCTACATACAGTGGCATATCATTCAGCCTTAGAAAGGAAGGAAATTCTGGCACTTACTACATGAGTGAACCTTGAGGACATTATGTTAAGTGAAATAAGTCAGGCACAAAAGGACAAATATTGTATGATTCCACTTATATGAGGTACCTAGAGTAGTCACATTCATAGAAAGTAGAATGGTGGTTACCAGGGGCTGGAAGCGGGGAATGGGGAGTTAATGGGTGTCGTTTCAGCTGGGCAAGATGAAAAAGTTCTGGAGATGGTTGGTGGTGATGGTTGTGTAATAATGTAAATATACTTAATGCCACTGGACTAAACTCTTAACATAGTAAATATTATGTGTATTTAGTACAGTCTTTTAAATTATAATTTTTTTAATGTTTAAAATGGTAGATTTTGTGTTATGTATATATTACCACAATTTAAAAAAACCAAAGCTTTTAAGGGGAATAGAAACCTCAGATTGGCAGCCTGGGGCCCACTTAGATTAGAGCAGCAGTTCACCTTCACTGGGTTAGGGCCTGGGATTTTATGGGATCCAGGGGCTTATAAGCATCCCCATGCCTTTCTTAGTACCAGCTGGTGTAGCTACTGCCTCTTTTTCTAAGCTACTGTCCAGGTGCCCAGTAGATCTCCCCGGAGATCAGGGCCAGGGTGATGGCCCCGCTGGCCTTACTCTCAGTGGGGCATCTCTGCCCAAGATAGTAATTTTCCATCTGGTCCTGCCCGAGCTTCTCATCTGGGCTTGGACCTTCTTTCTTGGTTTGGGGGGAGCACAGTAGGTGTCCTGAGCCTGTGCCAGCAGCGGCTGATCCACCCACCCCGGAGAGCTGAACACCACGAGGAAATTTCCACAGCTTTCTCAGCCCCTCTGTGTCCTCAGGAGTGACTTATCCTCTGTTCTCTGTAGGTTTTCTTTTCATCCGCCTGCAGCGTTGCCGTGGATGCCACCCTGAGGCAGAAAGCTGAAAAGTTCCAAGCTCACCTAACCAAGAAGTTTCAGTGGGACTTTGAGGCGGAGCCTGAGGACTGCGCCCCCGTGGTGGTGGTTCTTCCCGAGGGCGTGGGGACTGGCTAACTGGAAAAGCTCTCAGCCAGAGGAGGCCCCTTCCCCACGGCTGTGGTCCTGGCTCCTCCATTCACCTGTCCTACTGGGACTTACTGGGGCAGCAGCCCTGCCAGGTTCTACAAAGATGGAGCCAGAATTCCCTTCTTCACAATAAATAAGTTCCTTCAGTGCCAGAGAGGCTGTACCCCATCTAGAAGGCACGTTCGTGGGTTCCCTGTCAGCCTGCCCTCGGTGCTATAACCTAACTGAATTCCAGATGAGCTCTTGGGAGAGACCTGCCTCAGCAGCAGCCTGCTTCCTGCCAGAAGAGAAGAAGTTGAGCCAAAGGCGCAGGAGAACCGATTGTTTATTCCGTAGAATGGTTAGAAACCCTGGGCTGCCCAGGAGTCGGAGATGTCAGTTGGTGACTTTTTAAAAGTTAATCAGAGGGTAATCGGGAGATGAGCCAGGATTTCTGCCTGCCCCTTGTTGGATGGGAATATGTCACAGAAAACATGGGTGTGTGACCACCCTGGAGCCCCAGGTTGGGGAGGGCATAACAGAAGACAGTTGGGTTGAATCTGACGAGCTTTTGCTTCAAGTCCCTTTCTCCTGTCCAGAGGTCCCAGTGGATAATCTTTCAAGATCATTGCAGCCCCTGACCTCAGAGGCGTTGCTAGTGCCACACCCCTCCAATCTGCTCCGTTCCGAGGCCTCAGACCCAGAAGTGGGCCTTGGTGACCCTTTGTATGGCCCCATTCCTCACCAGAGCCAGCACGAGTGTTTCTGATGACCTGGAGATTCAACGACAAAGAGAAAGGTTCTTGCTTTGTACAGGCTTCTTTGGCCCTGTTGAAGTTCTGTGCCTTTATTCAGAGCTCCAGAGATGACCTGGCCAGCCTGGGTCCGCCCCCCGTCCTGCTGTGGGGCTGTCAGCCACAGGAGTGATGGTGCTCCGGTTTCCTGGGAGTCCTGAGGGCCCGCGCATCATACACACAGGCCCTGCCACCCTGACCTCAAACTGTTGTACTGTGATCAGAGTCCCTGTGCTTCTCTCTCCCAAGGCTGCGGCTCACACTAGGTTTCTGAATAAGAATCCCCTCCGGTTAAGACTTTCGGTTCCACTTGTCTCCTTGGAGTTGTTTTTACAAGAGCATAACATACATTAAAGTCTTGGAGTTGAGACTAAATCCCCTTGTGTGAGTCTCATAGTTCATCTGCCCAGTTCCCACCACAGCCAGGCACTGTCCTTAGACGCACATGTCCTCCCTACCGGGCACCAGGAGACCCTGCCCAACCTCTGCAGGCTCTGGAGGAGGCAAGTGACCAGCGATGTCTCCTGTCACCAGCGGGGCTTCTGAGATGGGCGCACCTGCAGGAACGATTGAGGCCCTGTATCTATATAGCAACCCGAAGGTTCACCTTGTGTGAATTTGCTATTCTTTTTCTCCCCAAAGCCCAATCATCAGAACTACTGGGGAGCTTGTTAAAATTGCAGATTCCAAAGGAATAAAGCCCTGATCCATGCCACAGCATAGACAAACCTTGAAAACACTGTGCAGATTGAAAGAAGTTGGACGCAAAGACCACATGTTGTACGATTCCATTCTTATGAATTGCCCAGAGTCGACAAATCCTTAGAGACAGAGGGATTAGTGGTTACCAAGGGATGGGAGAGTGGGGAAGGGGGAGTGACTGCTAATGGGTACTGGGTTTCTTTTTGGGGTGATGACAAGGTTCTGGAAGTAGGTAGTGGTGGTGGTTGCCCAACCTTATGAGTATCGTAAAAACCCATACAAGTGTATGCTTTAAAATGGTGAATTTTATTGTGTGTAAATTATATCTCAATAATAATTTTTAAAAGTTCAGACTCCCAAGTCCCACCCTACAGGAACTCGGAGGCAGTGAATCTGGATGCAGCCTGGGTTCTGAAGCACACTCAGTTTTGAGTTACTACCTAGAAGTAACAGCATTGCAATTTAGTACCTAGAGCTCCACTGGGACAATTTGTCTCCCACTGGCCTTGACAGTGAAAAAGGGCTTCCCTGGTGGTGCAGTGGTTGGAAGTCCGCCTGTCGGTGCAGGGGACATGGGTTCGAGCCCTGGTCCGGGAGGATCCCACATGCTGCAGAGCAGTTAAGCCTGTGTGCCACAACTGCTGAGGCCTGCGCGCCTGGAGTCCGTGCTCTGCAGTGGGAGAGGCCACTGCAGTGAGAGGCCTGCTCACCACGGCGGGGAGTGGCCCCCGCTTGCTGCAGCTGGAGAAAGCCCGTGCGCAGCAGTGAAGACCCAACGCAGCCAAAAATAAATAAATAAATAAATAAATAAATAAATAAATAAATAAATAAATTTATATATATATAAAAAAAAGAAAAGTCATTGAAGTGTTCAATTTAAGGAGCAACTTGTTAAAAAAAAAAAAAAAAACTTCCAGCACCTGGAAGTTGGATCGTGTGACCTGTTCTCTAAGCTTGTTGGTCTTATGTCTACACAGACACATACACCCCCCAACCGCGCCCACTCACACAAATGGGTTAAGGAAAAGCAGCTACAATGTATAAGTGCTCTGTTCTGTTAGTTCACTTAATCCTCACAACAGTATGTGGTAAGTGCTATTATTATCCCCATTTTACTGATAGGAAAATGGGCTTAGAGAGCTTCCATCATTTTGCTAGGGTCCCACAGCTTGTAAGGATTGAGCTCAAGAGTCAGACCAAGCCCATTGGTGTCCAGGGTCCGCACTCAGTACTGCATTCACTGCTGTGATTTACTCCTTCCCTATCCTTGCATGTCCAGGACAGCCTTGCTTTCTTCCTGCTTCCCCAGATCTAGCCTTGGCCCTGTTGACAGCCAGCTGTGTGACCGTGGGCAAGCCACTTACGTTCTCTGGGCTTCAGTGTATTTTTGTATAAAGTAAGAGAGTTTGCTTGGACTGAAGATTTCTAGTAAAGATACTCCAGGCTCCTTCAGGCTCCCTCCCCTTAAAAATGGAACCTTGTGTTTTAAATGTTTTCAAAGGGAAACTACATTTACATGAGGTAATATGGCTGGGCTGACAAAAAACAAACAAACAATAGGTCCCTTGTTGGGAGCTAGAGTGACATCGATGCTGTGTCTTCTGCTTCTCCCAGCTGGCAGTCCTCTGTGTCTTTGATGAATAAAAAATGTGAAAACAAATTAATTATTACTTAATACTTGCAGTATTTTTGGAAAGCAGAAACCTTGAAAACTGAGAACCAGTGGCGTTGCTGATCTCTTAAGTTCCCTTCCAGTTCTAACACATCTAAAAGTGAAGCTATTGGCAGGAGCTGGCCTGATTTTAAAATCCCCTCAAATGCAGGCCTCCTGGGGTCTGGCTCTTGTTTGCGGGGCTGCTTTATCCTATTAACAGAATCAGCAGAGGTAGCGACTTTCCAACCCCTTCTGCTGTCCCCGTGACAAACCCTTGCTGCTCAGAGCCCCGGTCCGTCTAATTTCTTACCACTTGAGCAGTGGAGGAGTTCCCGCCGCTGATTGCCTCTTACCATCGGTAATTATTTTCCCAACGTCATCCCTTTATAAATATTATTTAATATTCTCAGGGTGCTCTGACATGTTGGTTTCTCCAACTAATCAGACTTTGGCTTGACCAAGATGCCATCCCCTGCTGAAACGGGGGCTGGCAATGCAGAGGATGCCGTGGCAAAGCCATCGCTGAGTCACGTCCGCCAGACTTAAAGCAGGACAGAGTTGGGCAGCTCACCTGAGCCACCTGCTAATACTGGGGGCCGCGTGGTCCTGTGATTCTGCAGAACCACCCCCACTGACCACGGCACTGCCTCACCTTGGAGTTCACCACATCTGGCCCAGGCAGGCTTTGTTGTCAGTAGGCCCTTCTGGACCCTTCGTCCTCAGCATCCAACGTCTGTCTCCGAGGTGGTTCATTCTCCCCACAAACCCTGGGCTCCTGCTGTGGACTGGCCTCCCTGCTGAGATGGGGTTGAGAGCCAAGGTAACGTCAGCTGCTCCCTGCTGGGGGGCGGGGGAGGAGTGTGTCCAGCCCTCCCCCACCTGCTAGGCCTTCTGTCCTGTGTCCTCAGTCTGGTGCTCACCTGTGTAGACTCAACAGATTTCTCTGGAAAACAGGGATCCTCAGGGTTCTCAGGCTGTCAGTTAAAATGCTCGGTGGGAGGAAGGTGGGAGAAGTCGGCGGCTTCCCAGTCCAATGTCAGACGCCTGTTCGGAAAGGAACTCCACAGGGGTCTCTTCCTTGGATCTCTGTCTTCTTCCCTCCCCCCAATTTCTCCATTTTCCCTCTGTCCGCCTCCAGACGTTCTTACCTGGCTCAAGTCTGGACTCTACACCGCTAAGGGGATGCCAACAGATGGAGTTTCATCTTGAGGAGGGGGAGCCATCCCATGAGAAGCAGAGAAAAATGTGGGACCTACACCAAAGAGCAGAGAGGTTGGGAGAGCTGTCTTGAAGGAGGAGGTCTCTGCATCCTTTAGAAGGGAGAGCTGGGACCCGTGGAAGAAACTGCAGGGGGCAGAGCTTGGCTTCATTCCTTCTCTACCCAACTAATACTTTCTGAGCTCCTGCCCCTGGGAGCTTACATTCCAGTGGGGCGAGGGACAGGCAATAAGTGTAATAAATAGACTGAAGAGTACGTTAGTTGTGAGAAATGCTCTGGAAAAAAATAGAGCAAGATAAGGGAAGTTGGGAGTCCCGGCAGGGTAAGGGGACATGTTGCAATTTAAATGGGGTGACACTTGAGCAAGGATTTGAAGGGGGTGAGCAAGGGAGCCATGTGGTTAGCTGGCGGAAGTGTTCCAGGCAAAATGAACAGTGAGTGCAAAGGCCCTGGGGCAGGAGCATGTCTGATGTGTTGGAGGAGCACCAGGGGGTCAGCATGGTGTGAGTGGAGTGATCAAGAAGAGAATGGAAGGAGAGAACATCTCGGAGGGTACAGAGCAATCAGATTGTCCAGGGCTTAGGGACTGTTGTAAGAATGTTGCATTTTAGTCAGTGAAATGGGATCCATTAGAGGGTTTTAAGCAGAAGAGTGGCGTGGTCTGAGTTTTGTTTTAACAGGATCACCAGCTGTCCTGTTGGACATAGACTGCAGGGGGCTGGGTAGAAGCAGGGAGACCAGTAAGAAGGCTAGTGCAGTGGAGGTGAGGGACGACGCTGACTCAATCAGAGTGATATCAGGTATGCACGCTGGGGCGATTCGTGACTCAGGTCAGGGATGGACTGGATGTCTTCCAAGGGCCCTTCTAGCCTGATAACCTCGCCTCTGAAGTCTCAGAATCTGGGCAGAATACTGACTCGTTGGGTCCTCCCACCCCCACCCTACAAGTCCCCTGTCTACTGTGCCATCAGGGATCTGCCAGCCCTGCCTGTTCCCAGATGTCCATGGTACCTTAGGGCAGGCGAGGCAATGGTGAAGGGCTGGGGAGGAGCTCACAGGAGTTCTGGGCTGTCGGGGTGGAGGCAGGGGACTCGACGGCTCTGTTGAGAAGCCATAAATGAGGGCCGCGACAGGCTCTGGTCATACCGCCAGCACCTGTGCGGCTGTTCTTGCTGCCAGCGAGTGCTGAGGAGGGTCACACTTGCTGTTCGGGGGTTCTCGTGACTCACAGAGTTGAGGGCTGTTGGTACTACTTTGTCTTGGTCAAGAAGCGTTCACGCACCCATTTCCACCAGGGAATGTCCATGGACTTCGAGGTGACGAACATGAGCCGGCATGGAGCGGGGAGGTGCTCCCTCTTCTCTGCTGGGAACGTGCTGGATCCTTTATTCACCTTATTCAGGCAGCGCCGTAGGTCTTCAAGGAAGGTCTTATCATTCCTCATCGTACAGACAAGGAAACAAGGCTCAGAGAGGTGAGGCACAGGCTCACGAGTCTCAGAGCCAGAATCCCAGCCTGTCTGAGTCCAACACAGCCCTGCCACCACACAGCTCTCCTTAATAAGAACGGTTACATAATCTGTGATAATTACCAGTGGATCCAAGGCTGCCAGCCTGATAACTGACAGTGTCAGCCACTTGCAAGGGTGGTGGGCAGGCCCCACTGGCCTCTTGGTTCATGACAGCTTGCTAATGTTTCCACCCAGACTCTTAGTGTATGGATCTGGCCTTGGGTATAATGGGCCGACTGGCTCAGGCGAGGTGGCACCTGGGTGTGGTAGGAGGGGGAGCCGCATC